GGAGAGTGAGTGATTTTCTGTGGAGAGCGATGCCTTTTATATCCGAGATCGACCTCGGTATTTTCGGTCGGATCGGTCGGATTGGTCGATCTCGGGGTTAGCATCCCCTCTCCCCAGGAGCGGAAAAAAGGATCGGGGGGATGATTGGTTTTTTTGGGATAGGGAAGGAATTCGTAGGGAAGGTAGCGGCGCGGTGCGGGGTGGTTGCGCGCTTGTGGACGCGGTCGTGGCGCGGTGCGGGACGCTCGCTCGGTTGCGTGGCGCGGCGTCGGTGCGGTGCAGGACGCTTTCGCGCTCAGGGGTACGGTGCGTGGCGCGGTGCGGGGTGCGTTCGCGCTTATTGACGCGACGCTTGGCGCGGTGCGGGGAAATACCACGAAAACATACGTGTTTTCGCGGTATTCTCCGACGCTTTCGGAGTTCGCGTGTACAAGAAATTAAAAAAGGAGGCATTGCTGCCTCTTTGCGGCCACTGCCGCACTCCGCCTGATGTTCGGCGGTCCCCGACGGATGGTCGGTCGGGGGAAATCCGGAGGAGGGACGGAGCGGAAGGATGCGCTCCGTTACAAAGTAATTTATCATTTAATTAACTAAAGTAACGAATAAAGTACAAAATTAAAAAGCAAATATTAGGTGTACAAAAAAAGTTCTGAACTTTTTTTTGTAAAATTCAATCTTTATTCAAAAACAAACAAAAAAATAATTAATTAGCGAAATATTCCTCGTTTGCATCAACGACCTTTTGCCATCTTTCGGGTAGCTTGCAAATTCCTTGACGATAAAAGCTCACCGGTTTCGAAGCGATAAAGTCATCAATGCATTTTCGTATTTCTTCAAATCTCGCGAAATGTGTATCAGCCAAATAATGCTGCAGCGACCGGAATAGGTAGTAATCGGAAAGCGCCATGTCTGGACTATACGCCGCGTGCGGGAGAAGTTCCCAGCCTAACGCAAAGATATGGTCCTGAGTCGCTTTCGCAACATGTGGTCGAGCATTGTCATGAAGCGAGATCATTTTACGTAAATGGCCTCTTTTCTTCTAATGCATCGCTCAAATGTTGTTGATAGCGGTCTGCCGTAATTGTTTCACCCGGTTGTAACAACTCGTAATACAACACACCTTTCCAATCCCACCAGATAGAGAGCAAAACCTTCTTGGCGTGGATATTGGGCTTTGGCGTCGATGTCGAAGGTTGACCAGGGTCAACTCATGATTTTCTACGTTTAGGGTTATCATTAAAGAATCCACTTTTCATCGCCTGTAATGATTTTGTGCAGAAAATCTTTTCCGGAACTTTGAAAGCAAAGTGAGTGCAGTGTCACGCCGACGATTTTTGTTGTCTTTGGACAATTCATGTGGAACCTATCTGCCTTCCTTTCCCATCGTATGTAAACGTACGGAAATGATTTGCTGCGTAACGCCAAGCTATTCTGCAAGCTCCTTTTCAATTTGCGCAGAGTTTATATCCAGCAGTGCTTGCAATTCGTCCGTTTCAATCTTTTGAGGGCGTCCAGCACGCGGTTCATCTTCAAGACTGAAATCTCCTTGGCGAAATTTTTGATACCATCTTTTATATGTAGTATGACTTACAGCGTTCTCTCTATATGCAGCACAAATCATTGCAGTGGCTTCAGCAGCATTTTTCTTCAGATGAAACGCGAAGTGGATGGAAAATCGAATATGCTCTTTTGTTATTGCTGTCGTGAACACTACTGATTTTTGAGATTATGTGCATCAAACGCCAAACGCCAACCGTATGACATTTTAGAAGGCCAAATGTCAACGCTTTAAAACCGCAAAAGGGCGGGAAGATATATAAAATTTAAATTGTTATTTTGGTTGTATGAAATCTAAAGCTCAGAACTTTTTTGTACACCTAATACTTAACATAAAGGAGAAATGGTACGCATAGTGATTACTCGGTAAATAATGATAATGGTTAATATCATTTCGCTTGGGCGCATGAGAGTGGAAAAAATTGCATTGTAAGTGTATCACGCGGATGTTACAAAAGAGGTCGTCGGGCATGGCAGTTTGGGATAAAACTCTACGTTAAAATATTTAGGGCTATGCCCGGTTTTTACAATATAAATAATTGGACACAAAAAAATAAAATATTTTAAACAAACAATTATGTAAATGTAAAAGTGTTAGACCTTAAGGACGGTAGGCTCAGAAAGGTAAGTAATAGGAAGGGGAGCAAGGGGGAACAATCAATATTTAAGTGATGGATAGATCATATTAATCTATGCGACTTACTACTGCGATGATAACAAGAAATGTCGTTGCAGATAGATCGACGAGAAACAAACGGGGATAGGAACCAGCTGCTAGTGGTTCTCTGCAGGGTGCTCCAGAAGAATCAAGGGGCGCACAAAAAAAACACTCCCGTTTAGAAATAAACAATAATTGAAAGAAATTACAAGTTTAATTTAATTCACTCGTCTCGATATTAATATTTAAATAAGACTCGATATTAATACTGAATCTGCGATTACTTCGGTGAGAATCGACAAAGCTAAACTGAGAGTTAAAAGCGAATGCGGACGGACGGGCAGGTATACGAATGTCCAAAAAAAAGATTTAAGATTGCTCGAAAAAACTAACGGATCAAAGTGCGTGAAAAAATTATCGGTCA